GCGCAAGTTCGCCCGGGGGATTGGTTTCTGTCAGTGGATCTGAAAGACGCTTACTTTCACATTCCAATAGCGCCTCATCACAGGCCATTTCTGAGATTCGCTTTCGAGGGACAGTCATACCAGTACACAGTACTACCATTCGGCCTGTCACTGGCACCCCGTACATTTACGAAATGTATGGATGCAGCACTTTCCCCCCTGAGACAGCGGGGAGTGCGAATACTAAATTATCTCGACGATTGGCTAATACTAGCACAATCAGAGAGCCAGTTAGTGACACACAGGTCTTGGATTATCAGTCATCTAGAGTGCCTAGGTCTAAAAATCAATTTTGCAAAGAGCATGCTATCCCCCAGCCAGAATATTTCTTTTCTGGGAATAGTGCTAGACTCGGTGCAGATGACAGCACGCCTCTCATCAGAGCGCGCGCTCACTATTCGGCGCCTTGCAACATCGTTCAGAGCGGGTGCGCGCGCCCCCGTCAAGCGATTTCAGAGGATGCTCGGTCTCATGGCCTCAGCATCAGCTGTACTCCAGCTAGGATTGTTGCACATGCGTCCTCTCCAACGCTGGCTCAAGAGCCGTGTCCCCACTCACGCATGGCGCTCGGGCCACTTTTTAATCAGAGCAAATCACGGCTGCATAAAAGCCCTGACGCCCTGGAAAGCTGTCGACTGGTATCAGTCCGGCGTGAGTTTGGGCGTGAACACAAGGAGAAAAATGATCACGACAGATGCCTCCAAAATAGGTTGGGGGGCCCTTTACGAGGGCAGGCCTGTCTCCGGCTTGTGGTCAAACCCGGAGAAGCGCCTACATATAAACTGTCTGGAATTGAAAGCGGTCGCTTTGGCTCTCAGAGCCCTGCTCCCGTACCTGAAGGACGAGCACGTCCTAGTCCGAACGGACAACATGACGGTAGTCTCGCATATAAATCGTCAGGGTGGACTCAGATCGAGCTCCCTGCACTCGATGGCCAGGGAGCTCCTACTATGGTCCCAGCGCAACCTGCGCTCGCTGAGAGCGGCGCATGTGCCAGGTGTTCTGAACCAGGGAGCGGACATGCTGTCCAGAGACAAAGTTCTCCCAGGAGAATGGTCTCTCCACCCCCTGACGATTCAGTGGTTATGGCAAACCTTTGGCAGAGCAGAGGTCGACCTCTTTGCCTCCAAGGAAAATGCGCACTGCCCTCTCTTCTTTTCAAAGAGCACAGACGCGCTCGCCCAAGTCTGGCCGAGCCGACCGCTGTATGCCTTCCCTCCGGTCGCGATGCTACCTCAGGTCATCAGTCGGATCAGGGAAGAGAAATGTGCAGTGCTCCTGGTAGCCCCACTCTGGAAGAACCAGACGTGGTTTCCAGAACTGATGCAGATGACGCAATCTGCCCCATGGCCGATTCCACTGAGGCTAGATCTCCTCAGGCAGGCCAACGGGATGATCCTCCATCCCCGCCCCGATCTGTGGGCCCTCCATGCGTGGCCCCTCAACGGATTCCCGGGAACCTCCCCAGTGGAGTGTTGAGAACCATCACTGAGGCGCGAGCGCCCTCTACGAGGCGCTTATATGCCCAGAAATGGAAGGTGTTCAGTGACTGGTGTAAATCCAGGAACCTGAATCCTGAGACATGCGAAGTGCCGAGTGTGCTCGTTTTCTTACAAGAGCTGTTGGAGGCAGGCCGCACCCCCTCCACGCTCAAAGTATATGTGGCTGCCATAGCGGCATCACATGAACCGGTCGAAGGACGCACACTAGGGAAAAACTGCCTAGTTGTTCGTTTCCTGAGGGGCGCCAGGAGGATGAATCCCCCACGCCCCCCCTCGGTGCCGATTTGGGACCTGGCCACGGTCCTGGACGCACTTAAGCGTGCCCCGTTCGAACCCCTCCGAACTGTGCACCTTAAACAGCTCTCGCTCAAAACTGCTCTCTTGCTGGCTCTCGCCTCGGTCAAGAGAGTGGGCGACCTGCACGCGCTGTCATCAAGCGCTAACTGCCTGGAGTTTGGACCTAACGACAGCAGGGTTGTCCTCAGGCCAAAACACGGGTATATTCCTAAGGTGCTCTCTACTCCTTTCAGAGCACAGGTGATATCTTTGGCCGCGCTATCGTCCCCAGCAGACGAAAGTGACGCTAATTTACTCTGCCCGGTCAGGGCACTCAGAGTATATTTGGAACGCTCTGCCCTGTTCAGACAGACAGAGCAGTTGTTCGTATGCTTTGGCGGCCGCACTAAAGGTCTGGCTGTGTCAAAGCAAAGAATATCGCGCTGGATAGTTGATGCTATAGCGCTGGCTTATGAAGCCAAGGGCCTTCAGTGCCCCTTGGGCATCAGAGCTCACTCTACGAGAGGCATGGCCTCCTCGTGGGCGTGGTCGAGTGGGATACCCATTCAAGATATTTGTGCGGCTGCAGGCTGGGCCTCACCGTCCACATTTATCAGGTTTTATAACCTACAGGTCCCCTCATTGCATTCTAACATACTGTCGGTCTAGCTATCATAGGCTGGGGTGTGTACATGCTAAGCATTGTCTCCTCCCTCATAGAATCACATCTTTGAAACTGATGTGGAGGATTTTTCATACATGACAGTACATGAAAATGTGCTTGTGTGTGTCTCTGGACGCCCATCGGGCCGTTCCACGTTGTCCTTTATAAAACCCGCCTTCGGCTGGCTCGTTGGATAATTACTTCGCTCAAAGGCTCAGGCTCCGGCCTCCGGCTTAATAGAAGCGAAGTCAGCACGCACGGCGTTTTACATGGCGTTCCCATAGCGTAAAGCTATTACGCAATAGGAGGAACCTCTCGAAAGGGAACGACTCGGTTACTAACGTAACCTCGGTTCCCTGAGAGGAGGGAACGAGTATTGCGTAATCTGCCGTGCTTGTGCTTGGTCAGTTTGCTTCAGTCGATTGAACCTAAAGAACTCAGACGACGGGGCGCCCAATATATAGCCCTTGGCCACGCCCATCTTGGCGGGCTCTGACGCGCGTGGGCGCGAAGCACGCTCATTGGAAGCGGGTTCAGAGTCGCCCCGTCATTGGTTCGTGCAAGTTGCCGCAGCACAGCCAATGACCGAGCTGCCTCGCTCATTGCTGTATGCTGTGCAGCTGCAATGCGTTTTACATAAAGACTTCAATATTTCTCGAGAAAAGGAGTTTTCCCATAGCGTAAAGCTATTACGCAATACTCGTTCCCTCCTCTCAGGGAACCGAGGTTACGTTAGTAACCGAGTCGTTTTTTTGAACAATCAAGCATGAAAACTTATTCTAGTTTCCCCCAAAAACTAAATCAAGACTTAGAAAAAGGGCATAATATGGCCTCTTTAAGATCATGGTGCTGCAAAACTTCGGTGTACTTATTTGTATTCATATTTAGGAGATGGTAATTTTGAATAGTTTGATACATTTCTAAAAATATGAATCAAATGTTTGAAATCATATTTAACATTTAACAGCTATATGAAATGTAGCCTTGGAAGTGAGGAAGTAAAAGTTTCCTCTACTGTCATTTATTCTCTGACTTGTTTATTTCTCTTTTCCTTAGTGGCAAATTGTGTTTAATTGCTCCCTCTGTGATTAAGAAGGCAGTTTAGGGAGTGTGTGTTTGGGGCAGCTAGATTATACATGACAGTGCTTGTTTTAACACACAGGCTTTGTGTTTAAGGAAGAGTATGAGAATTAATGTGTTTTGTCTGCATATAAGGCTAAAAACCTGAAAGGATGCTTGAATAAGACAAAAACATACACAGATGCCTAAACACATGGAAACATTGCTTGGATGATTAAACAGCTTGTGCTGTTTGTCTTTTTCTGGCACAACCTGTGTCCCTCTGGAGAGTGCAGACTTACAGCACACTGTTTCATCTTCCCCTACCTGACGAGTATGACCTGATAAAATATCAGCTGTTCACAATATTTCTGTTGCACAAACAACACACAAAGAAAAAAATACACCGGGAAAAAGGTGTTAGCACTGTTTATGTCCCTTTTGTGTTGTGTTGAACAACAGCCTGGGTTGAGTTACCGCTGAAGGGTAAAAATGTACTTTTTTCCCCCCTGCTTTTTCCAGATTTAGAAAAACATGTGCATTAACTTTTAGAGCTGTTCAGAGCTACACTAGGCATACTGTTCAGAGTCAGTCCATTTTTCCTGTATATTTTTTTAGAGGAATTGATTTTTTTTATTGAGCAAGGTTGTGTTAAATTGATCAAAAGTGACAGTTAAGGTTTATAATGTTACAAAAAATGTCTTTTTAAATACATTTCATCAAAGAATCATAAAATGTTTTATGGTTTCCACAAATGATTTTCATCACTGATAAATATAAGAAATGTTACTTGAGCACCAAATCATAAGAATGATTTCTGAAGGATCATGTGACACTGAAGACTGGAGTAATGATGCTGAAAATTCAGCTTTGCCATCATAGGAATGGTGAAGAATTTTAAAATAATCTTAAAAATATATTAAAATAGAAAACAATTATTTTAATTTGTAATAATATATCACAATATTACTGTTTTTCCCGGGTTTTTTAATCAAATAAATGCAGCCTTGGTGGGCAGAAGAGACTTTCTTCACAAATATTTAAAAATTCGTACTGAACATATAATAATTGCAGTTTTTACCATTTACAATAAATATTTACAATTCTTAAAATTGTATATGTATAATTAATATAATTGATATACATGATACAATTACGATTATTAAAAGTATATATTTTTAAAATTCTTGAATTTGATTATTATTGACTGATGTGGATCATCTTGAAATGGCCAAATATTGTCCAATATGTCAGCCAGAGCTGCGTTTATCAAAAGCATTGGCAGCCTAAGTAGATCATAGAGACCATTGGTGCATTTACTTTTGAGAAATGCAGCCCTGGCTGATATATTGGGTTATCGTTACTCTCCGTACTCTCAAGTCAATGTATAAAAAACATTAGGGTCCAATGGGGAAAGTTAAATGTCCAGCTGCACTAACTCCATCTTTGCTTTTCTCCAGGGGGGCGTTCTCTGAGGTGTTCCTGGCTGAGGAGAAGAAGACCCAGCGACTCGTGGCCATTAAATGCATCCCTAAGAAAGCATTGGAGGGAAAGGAGAACAGCATTGAGAATGAGATCGCTGTGTTACACAGGTCAGAACCGACTCTCTCATGAAGTACTGCATAAAAAAAACAGTCTAAGTTGGTTTGTTTGGCAGGATGGGCAACTGGTATGCCAAACATCTAAACCAGCTGAAGACCAGATCATTTTTTCATAAGGGATGCCCGGGCTTTGGCACAAATTTCATGATTCGATCCGATTCGCCAAAAAAATCTCTCAAATAATGCTGTAAACTATACAGAGAAACCCAGTTGGTACATCACTATAATATTAAAGGTTACAATTAACTGATTTGTAGGCTACTTACATTTAAAATACACACAATAAAAACGTTATAATAGTACATTTTCATTGACAATTATGGTCAATTATGTTTTTTTTAATATAAATATTTAAATGATTGCATATTTTCAATTCAAAATAGCGAAATTACATTAAATGGGTCGTTAAACATTTCCTTCGTAAAAAAAGTTGACAAATATGAAGTGTTTAGCTACTTCTATCTTACCACTCATTCACTGTAAAAAACTAAAAGTGTCGCGTTGAAATTCACACTCATCTTCAGTGAACATTAAGCCCCGATTGGCCTTCACTTGTCCCTCTAGTGTCTCCACTGAAGAGATGTATGTCTATCCCTCAAAGCCTCGCTTTCATTCCCATTAAAAATCAAAGATGGCGCTGCTGTGAATAATGTCTATAGCCAGGACAGATGCTGCCGAGATCTTAAATCTTTGTGAGGTATAGTGTTAAGGATAAGTGGCAGTCAAGATCCTGAAAGGTCTCTTCCTTTTCCTCTTAAGAGCCAGATTGCTCTTTGAGAGAAGAAAAGCTCTTGTAAATGCTATATGTCCTATAAAAATGTGCTATAGTTTGAGAAATCGTAGAAGTGTGCACCGGAAATGTCAAGAGTACTGGAGACAGTCCTATTTTTAGTGTCTCTGTTGCCAGGGCAACAGCACACACAGAGGCTGAGATGGTATGGAGGTTCCCTGCAGCAGTATGTGAAGGAGAGGGACCAAAGAGAAGGAATACAAATAGAAATGAGAGAGAGAGAGACAGAGAGAGAGAGAGAGAGAGAGAGAGAGAGAGAGAGAGAGAGAGAGAGAGAGAGAGAGAGAGAGAGAGAGAGAGAGAGAGAGAGAGAGAGAGAGAGAGAGAGAGAGAGAGAAGAGAGAGACAGAAAGAGAGAGACAGAAAGAGAGAGACAGAAAGAGAGAGACAGAAAGAGAGAGACAGAAAGAGAGAGAGAGACAGAGAGAATTCCACCATTGGTGTGAAAAAATGTAATCAAATGGAAAGCAGGAAACCAAAAGAGTGGAAGTCAAGTGGAGATGGAGCAGAATATTATAAATGTCTGATTACAGTATGGCTGGTGTAGCTTCATCAAAGACACTGAGAAAATGATATAAAAATAGGGGAGACGGAAGGAAAGCCATCATGATAGAGCATAAAAAGATATTTAGAGCATTAAACGATTTTTGGATCTTCAGCTGTTTTACTGTCTGTCCGGCGAATATGATAAGCCTAAATGCCAATTTTCTGTTCTAATTAGAGTTGTCAAAAAGAACCGGCTTCGGTACCAATTCGGTCAAGGGGGTAATCCCATAGACAGTAAAAGAAATGGACACAGCGACCCCATTGATTTCAACGGAGAAAATTGAAGCCCGTTAAAAGCTGATAGCCAGGCGTACTGCGTAGGCTCAAACTGAGCCTGTCACGTGAGCAACCTGTATGTCTTCTAGTAGCTGTGCCGAGTGAAATCTGAATAATTCCCTTCCGAATCTCACAGAGACGGAGAGAGTGAGTATTAGCTGTCCATGAGCTAGCAGCAGGATCAACTTTATGACTCGCTATGGGCTTCTCCCTTGACTTTATCGGACTTTATGCCTCCACGTCCCCCCGATTGCCTGCGAGCTTCTCCTCCTCTCTATACGGTAATTTCTCCACTGTGCGACGGAGAGTCGATGGATAAATTGAGTCTTTGGACGCCTCAGATGTAAAGATATTTGCTGTCAAAGTGACGCCAAAATGAATGGGAGTCAATGGAATGCTAACAGCAGGTGATAGTCAGCTACAATGGCGGCCCCCGTGAGGCTTCAGTTTCTGGCGGATGGATTAGCCCCTTGGGTAATCCGCCAGCCTGAAACTGAAGCTTCGCTTGGGTTTTTTGTAAAAATCAAGGGGGTAATCCATCGACCGGAAGTTGAAGCCGGCCGGGTGCCGCCATCTTGTAGCAGAACTTCACTTGCGTTAGCATTTCCATTGACTCCCATTCATTTTGGCGTCACTTTGACAGCGAATAACTTTACATCTGAGGCGTTTAAAGACTCCATTTGTCCATTATTTATTTCTAAAGAAACACGACAATGTATAAAGGGCTCCATTTCCTTCTATGTTACATTATGGCCCCGCAGAAACAGATTTAGTAAAAATAGGCTAACGATTGCGTCATAACCACTCGACTCTCTGTCGCGCTGTACAGAAATTACCGTACAGACAGGAGGAGAAGCTCGCAGGCAATCGGGGGGACGTCCCGTCAAGGGAGAAGCCCGTAGATAATGAGTCCATAAAAGCAACGGAATACTTACTCCTGCTCACTCACGCCAAAGAACTCTTTGCTCAAGTTCCCCGTCTCTGCAAGATTAACGTTGGCAATTTTCACGCACAGCTACTAGAAGATTAACGTCTGTCAGACAGGTTGCTCACATCATCAAGCTTAGTTTGAGTCGGTTTGAGTCTGCGCGTCAGGAACGGAAATGCTCAAAAATCGCTAAAAATGGGCTTCAACTGTCTCAACTGAGTTCCAATGAGATGACTCTGCCTACTTCTTATACTGTCTATGGTAAAAATAGGCTAACGATTGCGTCATAACCACGGGACTCTCTGTCGCACAGTAGATAAATTACCGTATAGACAGAAGGAGAAGCTCGTAGGCAATCTTTTACTGTATATGAGGCAATCGGGGGGACATGGAGGCATAAATTCAAGGGAGAAGCCCATAGATAGAGAGTCCATAAAAGCACCGGGACAAAACATTCAACAACAGATTTGTTTCAGATTTCAATTCAGATTTGTCTCGGCACAGCTACTAGAAGGGCAGAACGGTTGCTCACGGCACATCTCCGTCTTCAAGCTCAGTTTGAGCCTGCGCAGTGCGCTTGGCTATCAGGAAGTGAGTGCTTCTAATGGGCTTCAACTTTCTCCGTTGAAATCTATGGGGCCGCTGTGTCCATTTCTTTTACTGTCTATGAATTCGGTACAGAAATTGTAAAATTGCTTTGAGCAGAATCGTAAATGCCTCTGATTGGCCATTGTGTTCACGCGTTCATTGGATATGTCTGTGATTGGCTACAATGATCAACTCGCAGGAGCATTTGAGAGCACACGGAAGTGTTTGAAAAACGGGAGCGGGAGCGTTTGAAACATAGGTTTGAAAGCACAAGCTGATAGACGCCTTCTTTTAAACGCTCCCGTGTGTATTTAAGTGTCATTGATGTATATGAACACGTTTTTGAAGTGCTGATCATTGTAGCCAATCACAGACATATCCGATGAGTACGTGAACACAATGGCCAATCAGAGGTGTTTACGATTCCGCTCAACAGCGCTCAAAGCGTCACATTTTGTAAATTTCGGTTCCGACGACTTGGTACCGAAGTCGGTACTTTTTGACAACTCTAGTTCTAATCATTGCTGTATTTTCTTCTTTCTTTTCAGAATAAAACATGAGAATATTGTTTCACTGGAAGACATCTTCGAAAGTCAGTCACATTTGTATCTGGTCATGCAGCTGTGAGTTTAAAATCTCACCACTCAAGCTCACACCAACCATGATAGTGACATTATTAAGATGTTGTTTAATTTGCAGTCTTGAATGCTTATGTCATTATAGTGGAGGTGCTAATTGTAGTTTGTTTGCGTGGGTCTTCACAGTGTATCAGGGGGAGAGCTCTTTGACAGGATTGTTGAAAAGGGCTTCTACACTGAGAGAGACGCCAGCAAACTCATACGTCAGATTTTAGATGCAGTGAAGTATCTGCATGATATGGGCATTGTGCACAGAGACCTGAAGGTAATGCTTACATATTCTTTCCCAATAATCACACTCTGCCTTTCTAAGCAGGCGCAATATGACAAATTATTCAGCATGCAATGTTTTTTCTGTCCTCGGTGAAAGCCAAATGCTGCCACAAAGGGACAAAATCACTGCCAATTAGAAAGTATTTAATGTTTAATATTCAGCTGTGTGGAGCAGAAGTTCAGAGCAATGAGATTTTAACAGTAGGCGATTATTGCTTAGCAATATGACAGAAATAGGCTTTGTTCGGAATGGTATACTATTGCTTACCACATACTGTATACTGCCTTTAGTGCATTTTTTTTACTATAGTATATTAAACAGAGTACACATTATGCCAAAATAAAAGTTTTAAACTGTAATACGCCACATTTTTGTGTTCTGTTACCAGCTCTTAGATAAAAACTATTATTTTGTATTTTAAAAATAGATTTCTTAAACTTTTCCCAGTCAAGAAAATATGACAATATGTACACTACCATTACAAAGTTTGGGGTCGGTAAGATTTTTAATGCAGCTCACCATGGCTGCATTTTTAAAGGACTCATAAAGGGATTAAAGACATCGTAAAGGAATTATACTTAGGGCACCAAAATGGCTAGCAGCGGCACTGTTTATATTGCACATTAAACATGGAATATATATGATTTATCGTTTGTTTCATCTGATTAGGTCACAGTGTTATGCATATGAAAATGGCTGTGCATTAAATGTAGTAAGATATGACTTGATTTAATGTGAATTCGTTCTCTTTCTGTGCAGCCAGAGAATCTGTTGTACTACAGTATAGAGGAGGACTCCAATATTATGATCAGTGACTTTGGCCTGTCTAAGATCGAGGACTCTGGAAGTGTGATGTCAACTGCCTGTGGGACACCTGGATACGTAGGTATGAATGAGGGCTATATTTTCTGTCCTTTTCAATCTCTTACCGTCTCTAGTAAGGTAATGTGTCTGTTTTTAGAGGCTCTCAGTCATTTGAAATGCTGCACAATGTCAAGTGTTTACATTTTTAAACTGCCTCTTTGATGCTGCCCTCATTCTGTACAGCGCTCAAAAGGAAAGTGAACCTCTCTCTCTCTCTCTCTCTCTCACTCACTTTTTCATTCAGCTCCTGAGGTCTTGGCACAAAAACCATACAGTAAAGCTGTAGACTGTTGGTCCATAGGAGTGATTTCTTATATTCTGTAAGCATTTCTTGATGTTTGTATTTATTTGAGTGTTTGTTTATTGTCAGTTTTATAATTATTTATTGAATTTTAATTATTGAATTTATTTAATAAATTTGTATGTATGGTCAGTCATTTATTCATTGTTTGATTGATTGATTTACTTATGTTTATTACTAATTTAATGGAATATTTTAGGTTTTTATATTTTATATTTTAGGAATTTATTTATTTATTTATGGTAAATTATTTAATTCCGAACATAATTTTTAATTCATTTTAATTATTTGTATTTATTGTCACTGCTCGTTTATTCCATTTTAAAGACAGATATTTGTAATGAATCAACATATTTATTTATTTGTTTATTTAAGGTACATTTTTTTACATTGACAAATATATTTATTTTATTTTATTTATTGAATTATTAGTATTGATTGTCAGTCCTCATTTATTTATGTATTCATTCATACCATTTTGTTGTTAGATATGTATAAAGAATCAACATACATTAATATTTCAATCTAAATCAATATTTCATATTTATTTATTTATAGCCAAATTATAAGAGGGATAAATTACAGTCAGCTGGTCTTACAAAGCATTGTCTTTTGCAGCTTATGTGGCTACCCTCCATTTTACGATGAAAACGATGCCAAGCTGTTCGAGCAGATTCTCAAAGCAGAGTATGAGTTTGACTCTCCGTACTGGGACGACATCTCTGACTCAGGTAGTTCTATGTAATTGTAATCATAATCCAGTATCATTATCTTGAGATGCGTTGATGTGAAAGAAAAGCTTAAATCCTGCACCTATAGAGCTTAACAGAAGGTTTTCAGAAGTAAAAATACCATTAGTGATGCAACAGTGTTGAGATGCAGAGTCTACCAATAGGAGTGCAGACAGTGAAGAACACTTTCTTGAAACTGCTGTTGAGCTCTATTCTGGCCACTTGAATGTTGTTTGACAACATATTGTCGATCATATTCCAGCCAAGGATTTCATCAGTCACTTGATGGAGAAAGATTCATCTCAGAGATACACATGTGATCAGGCTTTACAGCATCCATGGTAGGATTACCTAAAAATAAGTGTTCTGCGTGTTTTGACTATATCGGTACATCTTTTTACAAAAATTGCTTTAGTAATCCATCCCCCATCTCTACTTTTGAAGGATTTCCGGAGACACAGCTCTCGATAGGAACATTCATGAGTCTGTCAGCGCTCAGATCAAGAAGAACTTTGCAAAGAGTAAATGGAAGGTGAGAATCCCACAACATCATTCTTTTAAATTCTTCCATATTTGCAATTCCATCCCGACAGATCCTGGTGATGTTCTTTGAAATAGGCAGGAAGAACTTGCTATAAACATAGGGTATTTTAGGAGAAAGAATAACTATTAGGGCTGGGCATTGACAAAATTTCACGATATGATTCGATTTCGATTCACATGCAATCATTCGAAATTCATTCAATTCCGGATAATTATCAAGTACAGTACTTGTCAGTTTTTCTAAAGGAAAAAAAAATCTATTAATCTCTAAAAACAACTAATGCTGTAAATTATACAGGGAGCCATATCAGTTGGTACATTACTATAATATTTCAGGTTTAAATTAACAACTGATTTGCATACAAACATTTAAATTGCACATAAGTCAGTTTTTATAATAACAATGATATAATAATTACATTGGATGGATTTATTCAAACATGTATTAAATATTCAAGAACAGGTTAAGTAAAAATATAATTATATGTAATATACTGCATATATTTAGCAAAATGCTCCTCACTAGAGTAATTTTTTCTAGCTAACTACCAAGCTATGGGCTTTGAATGGTTTTCCTGAGGTAAATTTTATGTTACGTGACATTGCTTACAAGCTGTTGTCTTTTTGCGATTGAAACACTGATTACACGAGACATGAAACATATCATAGGCTGCTACAAATCATGTTTAGTGACGTTTTGTCCTCATTAATCTAATGTGTAAACATATTTTAGAGGCACGCTATCGTTTGTTGTTGTCTTTGTAGCAAGCATTCAACGCGACAGCAGTGGTTCGACACATGCGGAGACTGCAGCTGAGCACCAGCCTAGAGGGGCCAAGCCAAATCACCAGCACCAGCCCCTACCACAGACACCTGCTCCTCCCCGCTAAAGAGCTCGACCAGGAGGAGGAGGAGGAGGAGGAGGAAGAGGAGAGCAGTAAGTTTGAGATCATTCTCGAATGAAAGTCGCATACAATCCATCCCAAACAGTATGCAAGAATTAATGGGTTCCCGCAGGGCATTAAAAAGTCTGAAAATCTGAAATTAGAGTCTCCTGATTTTAAGGCTATAAAAAGTCTTTAATATTTGTATTCTTTCTGCAAGGCATTTAATTTTAATACATGGTCTTAAATCTGCCGCAAGACGTTTATATGAGGTACTATGGGAATTAATTATTTAGATTTTTAGAATGCATTTTTAGAATGAATAGGCTACTTTTCCATCAGCCAGTTAAAATTTATGAGCTTTGGTGTGCTTTTTTCAGTTTTTTTTACTTTAAAACTGTGGGAAAATCAAAGCCATAAATCTAAAGAAGTCGTGTTCCAAATTTGAGGTTGATATCTCAAAACATTAGCTTTCGGTAAGATTTAGTTTGGACACAGTAGCAAACGTTTCCACCAGTTCCCATTCATACATGAGACATTCGTACATGCGTGGCTATTTTTAGACCATTTAACCTTTTCTAATAATTTCCATGATTTGTGTGTGTGTGCGTGCGTGCGTGTGTGCGTGCGTGTGTGTTCACAAAGCAAGTGCCAAAACCTTTATCAAGTTTCGTACCTTTATCAAGTTTCTGATGAAGTAAAAAAAAAAAAAAAAAAAAAAACGTAACATTTTCGGTCAAAAATGACCAAACAGCACCAGAGGCTTTGTAAATAATGCAAAAAAAAATGTAATAGTGGACTCACACACATTTTATGTTTCTAGCACGCAGGCTTTTCATCTGATTGTATTTTTAGGCATTTTTCATAATAATAAACTTTTTTTTTTTTGTTTCATCCCTAAAGATTTTTTTTTTACTCCAAAGCATTCAAGATTTACGACAGATTTACGACAGTTTGCTCGAAAAGTGGTAAACGGGTATATAAATATAATTTAGTACCATAAAATCCCCTAAAAATATTAAATAAAAAATAATTATTGAAGTAAAATATAGTTCAAATGGTTCAAATAAAAATAAAGCGAGCAGCACCAGAGGGTAAATAGTTTTAATAGTTTACAATAACAACACTGGGCTAAATGCTATTTTATATACTATAAGATCCTACTGCTATTCATTTTCACATAACTTTTATGTTTAGGTTCCCCCAGTGCAGACGGGCGTCGAGGCAGTGCCGACCGGGATAGTCTTAGAAGCTGTGCTTACTGCTGCCGACCGACCAGCAGGATCTGAAGCAGAACTCTGAGCCCAGAGGAACCCACACATGCACGTCTACGGCTCCAGTCTGACCCGGAACACAGAGCTTTCCTGGTAACATGCACTAGTGCTGCTGGTGGGACATGACATGAGGAGAGCGGGATTGTTCCAGACATTCACACTTGGGTATTTCATTGACAGATATATGTAATTCTATTTAAACCATTATTTAATTTGATCTGATTAATATTTCTGTACCCCGACCAAAGACAAAAATGTGTTTAAGTTGTATATTTTATGTAAGGTTTAATGATTTTATTTTATTTGATTTGTTTTAAAGAAAACGTTCAGGTCTGTACCCTGTAGCAATTTGGACTTTCTTGGAAAGCCACTAGTTATACAATGTCTTAATAATTATTAATGTCTCAATAAGCCCCACTTGCTCAGGCGATAAATTCACGAGGAAACAAGATAAAGTCATTGAAGTCAAGATAAAGTCATCATTAATACATTTTCATATTTCCACCAGAGAAAAAAATATACATAATGGCAATTGCGACTTTTTATCTCACAATTCAGACTCTTTTTATCACAATTGCGAGTTTAAATCTCGCAATTCTGACATTTTTCATATCACAATAGTCGTAATTATGACAAAAAGTTAGAATTGTGAGATATAAATTGTGAGTTATATAATATTTTATATTGTGATATAAAAGTCGGCTCACAATTCTAACTTTTTTTCTCGGAATTCAGACTTTATAACTCGGAGATTTGCGAGATAAAAAGTCTCAATTACCTTTTTTATTTTTTATTCAAACAAGCTTCTAAACTTTCACGGCTTAATCCATTGTGGTTTTGTTTTATAAAGTCTGTTGGGTAGATGCCCATGTCGTTGATTTTGTGTTCTGGTTCAGACTGGCTCTGTAGTGCAAATTGGTGGTAAAAAAAACTGCATATTGGACAGTGGTTAATCGTGATGGGGTTAAGAGATTTGAGCCACAGTCACAGCCACAGTAAAGCTTTTTTTTTTTTACACCCAGATTAAATGCAGTATCAAACCTGGATAATTTACGTTTTCAAATAAGATTTCATTTCCAGTTTTCGACTTTAGGGGGCAAAAGTAGTCTGTAGCTCCATTTCAAAACCTAGTGAGGATGCATTAGATAAACACTCCTGGTCCAAAATTATGCTGCATTTTAAGACACCTTATTTTGGACAAGAATCTTTGCGGAGAAGGCAATCTCATAATGCAGTGCAACAAGTTCAGTAAATATATTTGATTAAATACCAAAAAGTATCAATAAAAATACCCATCTAACAGGCCGATAGGGCATTCTGGCAAGATAACTTAAAGTTGTGATGAATTCTTCCAGTAACGTTAATAGAATGTTCATTTGAAGTTATCCGGTCTTTAATAACATTATCAAAACATCAGCACAAAAATGTTATTTCATGGAACATCTTTTGGAAACATTTTAGTTAGATGTTAGTCTGTTTACTAAAAGTTACTACTTACTCATTTTTTCAGATGGTTCAGAGAACATTAAAAAATATTCCCATACTGTTTTCTCTAACGTTTATATAACCATGAATTTTTTTTTTTTTTTTAAACTGAACATTCTGAGAACATTCAAAATAAAGTTTTCACAACTTAATGGGAACATTAGCAAACCATTCTTATATTTTTGTTCGAGGGTACTTACTATTTAACCCAATATTTGGAAAAGCAATCTAGATTTAAGGCCTGTTCACACCAAGGACGATAACTAGCGATGGTTCTAAAAATCTTTCTAAATATAAAAGAATAGCAGCTGTCAACACCACAACTATGACGATAGCAGCACAGAGAGACAATATCGTTTGAATCACTTTCAGAATGATTTTGTCCAGCTGATGAATGATAAAAATAGCCAATCAGAATCCATCCTGCTTTAAGAGCATTTAAAGCGAAAAACTGCAGCTGATATAGTTATCTTTAGGACTTAATGCTTTTTTAAAAGTTAGCTTAGCAACATGCTGGCGTCAAACCTCAATCAATCGTGAGTTGGTATTTTGTATCCGCTTCACATGAGAGACTCTATTTGTTGCTTTGAATCAGTGATTTATGAGATTATATTTAAATTAGGATGCTGCCTTGGAAGGTTTTGGAACTGCTGTTGATTACTCTTTGTCGTGACACTGATTAAGTTTGCAACCAAAATGATTTATCTGTCTATGGTTATCATCAGTTTTTCCAGTGCATGTTGTGTGAGCTGATCTTTTGTTTGGGTCGCTGGCTATAATCTGCACTGTTCTCGTTTGCAGAAGACGTCTAATGTTTGCATGACCTCGTAAAAATATGTTTACAAGAGCAATGATCAAAAATAATACAGATAAAATATACATATTCATATCTTTTCCACTATGCTAATTGCAAAATGAGACAGACTATGCGGTCATGTCATTTTGAAATCGGAGGAAACAAGTTATTGTCACTTGACTTGATCTGGTTTTTCTTTGTAAAATATATACATGTTATGTTTAAAAACAATTTTTTTTTATTTAGCATTATATTAAGAACTCAATACTGGCCTTACTTTCAAACTGGATTGAAACAAAAAAGAACAATGCAAGAACATTCACACCTTGTTCATCAGTATACAGCATGCGTGCCAATTTGACCACGACTTACTTGAAGCCAACAATAATAACAAAATAATAATAGAAAAATCAATGGGTCCCACTTTAAGTGTCTTTAACTACTGTGTATTAACATTTAAATGAATGATTTTATACAATGCACATACATGTTACATGTTTTTACATTGTACTTATATTTTTTTTAAATGCCTGCATGTAATTACAGCTATAATTAATTTCTAAAATCTATAATTAAACCTAACCCGTATCCCACCTCAATAGCAGCTAAAGGGTTTTGCAATACAATATGAACACCATAAGTACATTGTACTTATTTTTTTGATGTATGTACATGGTAATTAAAGACACCTAATGTAGAGTGTGACCAAACAAGGTATTTATTTAGCTAATCCCTGATATTAGAGACATTTTCCTCTTAAACCTGTGAACAGAACTGCTTAAAACCCAAGTGCTATAAGTGATTTAATAAGTATAAAAATGCATCAGTCTAATGAGCAGTTCAGCAATCAGTTATAGTAATTATGGTAATTATGCAAACTGCCTCAGAAGGGCTGATTAAATATCATTTAGAAGTCATCTATGAATTACTTTGGCTTTGAAAAGTACTAAAGAAAGCTACACCCTGGGTTTTTTACTAGATAATTCCTCCCTTGATCAATTCCGACCTTTTTTTTTCCATTATATTTTCACATGAAAGTTCAGGAAGTGTAGAGTAGACACAAATACAGTATGTGTATTATACAGCAAGAAGATGTATACATATATTGTATATCTTTTTTGTAAAAGCTACAAATGTATGGATGCAATGCATCATGTGTTATCGATGGAGTTACGAAGAGCCAATGATTTGTACCCTTAAAGATATACAGGTAGTAGCACGTTATGAATAAACACTCCTTGTCTATGCATTGTGTGTGTTCAGTAAAATCTTTGTGTACAATGCAAATAAAGTTCACATCAAAGTGCTATGCAAAGGCAGACTGTGGTTGGTACTTTCAGAAAATACACTCAAACTGTAATACATGTCAAAATCTCTTTATTTAAAGACTAAGAAAATGTACAAAACATATTTACAAAAAACTATGTTGTGTTGTTAGCCAAAACATAGGCTACACCTTGAGAGATCAACATCATGTGCTGTATGATGTCAGCATCATATGAGTGGAAAAGCTCTTAAGCAAACCCTCATGTTATGTTCCGGTCGTTTTAACCCAGAGAGGATTATCTTCTTCCTGAAAATGCCAGTTAAATCTAGGGTAGGCAGTGTTTTTCATGAACACTTTTTGTTATACTGGTTGAAAAAATGGAAAAGTAAAATAATGCCAAATGTTTTTGAAACAAAAAAGCCTGTTCCAATACTTGGAAAAAAAAGATGCATTGCATTAACCATGCTTGCATTTTAATGCATTGTATTTTTAGGGCTTGCATTTTTATGGGCTGAAATTCAGCATGGTTGAATATTTAAGCTGTGAATATTTCAATGCAAAACATTTAAAACACATTTTCATTATTAAAAATGCAATAATCCATATTCACCTTTCATTTTTCACTTCTCTGATATTTCCTACCCTAGGTTTAATGTTATAGCATTGGACTAAAACTTACTGACTTTACTTAGGGTATAACATATTATATAACACAATATTTTTTTATATTTTTCGTACTTATTCCCCAGCTTGTTCCCAGTCAAAAATGAATGGCTGAAAAAAATTGCTTATAAATCTTTTTTTATGCTATGTTATTGACAAATATTGGATTCAATCTTTTTATCAATTGTTTTCACTTTCACTTTGCACAGGTTTCTTTTTGGAACTGCTCAGATCAATGAGGCCTACGTTCAATCAGTTTCAAAAAGAAATACAATACCTGTGCAAATTGAAAGAAAACAAGTAGACAAAAAGATTCAATACAATATTTGTTGATAATATTGCATTATGAGAGGTAAGCAATTTAAGAGGCCGGTCATTTTTGATCTGTAAATTAGATAAAAGACGTTCAAAACAGTAAAAAAGTCACTTGTACAAAAGGTATAAATCAACAATGACTTAATTGTAAAGAAATTTGCATTATACCATAAGAAAATATATATTTTTTTATTTTATTTTTTTATTGAATCTAATTTTGTGTAAACTTTTCCTGTCTGATCAAATGGTAAGTCAAGAAAAGGAAATATTAAAATTTGCAATTAACAATGGCAATTCATTCGTCATGCTAGAAATGGAAAATCAAGTCTAACGCATTGTATTATGGGATACAGTGTCCTATGCTCTGGTTGTATACTGCACATTTTGTTAAACGTAGTAGGAGATCCATGTTATAACGTGCACATAGAAAACATGAATATTGTGCACTGTATACATACCGCAAAACTAGTATGCGTATTTGAACATACCAAATTATTTAAAAAATATTTAAACAACAAAAGATACATGTGGAAAAAGTGGGCATGACTTCTGTCTATTCACATACACATTGCATTGTGTTGGTAGGATTACATGGCCCAAGGTTTGTTAGGAACTCCATTAAAAAGCATAAAAGTGCATCATCTATAAATATGGCAGACAAATCATTTCTATACACAAACACTAGATACAGTTCCAGTTGGAATTATTCTGTTCTTGTGTGTGCAAATGACAGCCGCTTAATCAGCAATTAATGTGCAATACATGAAATCCTACTTATAAGTAGTACCTAACATTTTGTAACACTGACATATCATTAGCCAACATTTTCAACTTTCTTGTCCTCAATATTGTTCTTTCACGTTCTTTGATTTCATTCAAAATCCAAACCCAAGCTTTCTAAACAATGAAGAACTGTCAAATCATCATCTGGAGGTGCATCAACACTCGTGTAGATCTATGATGTTGACGGTGATGTGTGATTACAGCTCTTTCTCCTCAGCACTTGCGATCGCTGTCCTCTTCAGACTCTCCTTGACCCTAATGAACTCAGGTGCGCCCTTTGACCTTTCCCTCTGCTCACCGGCCTCTCTCTCAAGCTTAAAAGAGTGAAATCATCTCTATATGAGGTGTTGGTATACAGTAATAGCCAAAAGTGATGTCCAGCCTAGGAAAATCTACATCCTTTATTCAAATATTTGTAAAGGGATAGTTCACCCAAAATGAAAATTCTGTCAGTAATTACTCATCCTCATGTCGTTCCAAACCCGTAAGACTTTTGTTCATCTTCAGAACACAAATGAAGATCTTTTTGATGATATCTGATAGCTTTCTGTCCCTCCATTGACATTTTGATGCTTCAAAAAGTTTATAAAGAGATTGTAAAACTAATCCATATAAATGTAGCAGTTTAGACCAAATTTTCTGAAGAGACATGATTGCTTTATATGATGCACAGATTTTTTGATCACGTTGAGACACGATCGCTTTATATGATTAACAGAAGCATGTTCGCTTGACGAGCGAGAACCAGTGAGGATCATTCTCGTGTTACGCAGCACGTTTGAGCTTCAGCAAGAACCAATGAGGATCATTCTCGTGTTACGCAGCACGTTTGAGCTTCAGCAAGAACCAATGAGGATCATTCTCGTGTTACGCAGCACATTTGAGCTTCAGCAAGAACCAATGAGGATCATTCTCGTGTTACGCAGCACATTTGAGCTTCAGCAAGAACCAATGAGGATCATTCTCGTGTTACGCAGCACGTTTGAGCTTCAGCAAGAACCAATGAGGTTCATTCTCGTGTTACGCAGCACGTTTGAGCTTCAGCAAGAACCAATGAGGTTCATTCTCTGTTACGCAGCACGTTTGAGCTTCAGCAAGAACCAATGAGGTTCATTCTCATGTTACGCAGCACGTTTGAGCTTCAGCAAGAACCAATGAGGTTCATTCTCGTGTTACGCAGCACGTTTGAGCTTCAGCAAGAACCAATGAGGATCATTCTCGTGTTAGGCAGCACGTTTGAGCTTCAGCAAGAACCAATGAGGTTCATTCTCGTGTTACGCAGCACATTTGAGCTTCAGCAAGAACCAATGAGGTTCATTCTCTGTTACGCAGCACGTTTGAGCTTCAGCAAGAACCAATGAGGTTCATTCTCGTGTTACGCAGCACGTTTGAGCTTCAGCAAGAACCAATGAGGTTCATTCTCGTGTTACGCAGCACGTTTGAGCTTCAGCAAGAACCAATGAGGATCATTCTCGTGTTAGGCAGCACGTTTGAGCTTCAGCAAGAACCAATGAGGATCATTCTCGTGTTACGCAGCACATTTGAGCTTCAGCAAGAACCAATGAGGTTCATTCTCGTGTTACGCAGCACGTTTGAGCTTCAGCAAGAACCAATGAGGTTCATTCTCTGTTACGCAGCACGTTTGAGCTTCAGCAAGAACCAATGAGGTTCATTCTCTGTTACGCAGCACGTTTGAGCTTCAGCAAGAACCAATGAGGTTCATTCTCGTGTTACACAGCACGTTTGAGCTTCAGCAAGAACCAATGAGGTTCATTCTCGTGTTACGCTGCACGTTTGAGTTTCAGCAAGAACCAATGAGGATCATTCTCGTGTTACGCAGCACGTTTGAGCTTCAGCAAGAACCAATGAGGTTCATTCTCGTGTTACGCTGCACGTTTGAGTTTCAGCAAGAACCAATGAGGTTCATTCTCGTGTTACGCAGCACGTTTGAGCTTCAGCAAGAACCAATGAGGTTCATTCTCGTGTTACGCAGCACGATTGAGCTTCAGCAAGAACCAATGAGGTTCATTCTCGTGTTACGCAGCACGATTGAGCTTCAGCAAGAACCAATGAGGTTCATTCTCGTGTTACGCAGCACGATTGAGCTTCAGCAAGAACCAATGAGGTTCATTCTCGTGTTACGCAGCACGATTGAGCTTCAGCAAGAACCAATGAGGTTCATTCTCGTGTTACGCAGCACGTTTGAGCTTCAGCAAGAACCAGTGAGGTTCATTCTCGTGTTACGCAGCACGTTTGAGCTTCAGCAAGAACCAATGAGGTTCATTCTCTGTTACGCAGCACGTTTGAGCTTCAGCAAGAACCAATGAGGTTCATTCTCTGTTACGCAGCACGTTTGAGCTTCAGCAAGAACCAATGAGGTTCATTCTCGTGTTACACAGCACGTTTGAGCTTCAGCAAGAACCAATGAGGTTCATTCTCGTGTTACGCTGCACGTTTGAGTTTCAGCAAGAACCAATGAGGATCATTCTCGTGTTACGCAGCACGTTTGAGCTTCAGCAAGAACCAGTGAGGTTCATTCTCGTGTTACGCAGCACGTTTGAGCTTCAGCAAGAACCAATGAGGTTCATTCTCGTGTTACGCAGCACGATTGAGCTTCAGCAAGAACCAATGAGGTTCATTCTCGTGTTACGCAGCACGATTGAGCTTCAGCAAGAACCAATGAGGTTCATTCTTGTGTTACGCAGCACGATTGAGCTTCAGCAAGAACCAATGAGGTTCATTCTCGTGTTACGCAGCACGATTGAGCTTCAGCAAGAACCAATGAGGTTCATTCTCGTGTTACGCAGCACGATTGAGCTTCAGCAAGAACCAATGAGGTTCATTCTCGTGTTACGCATCACGTTTGAGCTTCAGCAAGAACCAGTGAGGTTCATTCTCGTGTTACGCAGCACGTTTGAGCTTCAGCAAGAACCAATGAGGTTCATTCTCGTGTTACGCAGCACGATTGAGCTTCAGCAAGAACCAATGAGGTTCATTCTCGTGTTACGCAGCACGATTGAGCTTCAGCAAGAACCAATGAGGTTCATTCTTGTGTTACGCAGCACGATTGAGCTTCAGCAAGAACCAATGAGGTTCATTCTCGTGTTACGCAGCACGATTGAGCTTCAGCAAGAACCAGTGAGGTTCATTCTTGTGTTACGCAGCACGATTGAGCTTCAGCAAGAACCAGTGAGGTTTGTTCTTGCCCGTCAAGCAGGTTCAGTTCAGCTTCTGTTTATGTTCACTGATCAGTGTTTATATGTGAATGAAATCCTAAATTAACTCTGTTCATCATGTAAAGCAATTGAGTCTCAATTCATATGGATTAGTTTTACAATCTATTTATGAACTTTTTGAAGCGTCAAAATGGTAGTTGCGTAGCTGTTAATGGAGGGACAGAAAGCTCTCAGATTTCATCAAAAAGATCTTCATTTGTGTTCCGAAGATGAAGGAAAGTTTTGCGGGTTTGGAACGACATGAGGGTGAGTAATTACTGACAGAATTTTCATTTTTTGGGTGAACCATCCCTTTAGAATGTGTTAAAGAAGCATATTGTGTAGTTGTGCTTGGAGTTTTTTTTTTTTTGGTGATAACACAATGAAACATGCCAAATTGTGTGGACATAATTTTTGGTCAGGCTGTCTCACAAAGAAATTATGAACAAATGCAAATACAAAAGAGAGAACCAACTAAATATTAATAACTGATGATGTTGTAGTCGGTATATGTTGTATACTTTTTGCTGTGAGCTTTTTTGTTTTTCTATGCATTTTTTTGCATAGTAAAATAAAACATGTAGCTGTAGTTTGCCTTTTTTTTGTCAAATAATTTTGTTAGATAAATACCTTAACCGAGTTTAGTGTTTTGCTCTTACATTAGCTATATTTAACAAATATATTTTCCTCATATTTTGATGGTTTAATTGAACTTGTAGGGTCATTAAACACAAATATCCCCTCCAGACATCACTTTTGGACACTTCTGTCTACAGGAGCAAGTTATAGAAAATGGTCATATACATTATGATCCATAATACAACTTTTGGAACAAAAGATCGGTCGCTGTGATTTTGCCAAGTAAGACATGCTCCTGGATCAACATTCCTGTCCAAAAACATAGTCCTAACCCTTTCCCTACCCAGAATATATCCCTAAAATCAGAGGAAAATGATAGGTGAATAGGATTGGTGTAGAAGCCCCTTACCATTGTTGTAAGCCTAAACTTGACATAAACTAAAAAACTATCCCTCAAATCTGATTGGTTGATTGAAATGTTCTACTTGGTGAAATCACGTTAACCCCAAAGATCAATATTTTCTGGACAAAATCAGGGCATATTCTGTGTCATTTGAATAGCATCCTAGCATTTAATTAATACTGTATATGAAAACTCATATCAATTTAGTTTGAGGGGTGTTATTTCAGGGTTTACCTTCTCTAACCTCATCTGCCTCTTCAGTAACTCCTGCTCCAGGGGTGATTTTTCTTCTTCCTGTTTTCTCTCTTGTTTCAGAGCTTGAGCTCTATTCCTCTGTTCAAGAACTCGCTGTAACTCTGGCTTCTCCTCCATCACTGCTCCTCTGATAGATAGGATAAGTGTTACTAAATCTCACATTACGGTATTGTTACTTATAGTGTTTATATATATTTCTTTATAGAAATAGTTTATTCATTGTAATTGGCTGAAAAAGGGAATGATCAGGATGTGGAGGCTGAAGATCAAGTTCATCCTTAAAGTCACCATGAAGTCAAAATAGACACTTCTTGTTTTTAATGGAATATGGCGGTATTTATTTTAAGTGATTTATCCATGTATATAACTTGTCCCGCCTTCATGCCAAAGAACACGTCAATCAGAGAAAAGAAGAGATGTCACTGCAAGAGGGAGGGGAAGTTACTTTAAAGTTTTACAGGGCAAATCACAGCAAAATCAAGTCCCGCCCTACATTTTTTCTCGTTCAAGAAGCAGTTTAACTCGGATATACGTCACAATAGGGAACAAAAGACCATCTCAATTTATAAAGGTGCAAATACAGCCTAATAATAATAATACTGAGTTTGCGCCATGTCGTAATTGCCTTGATTATATGATGACAAGGCATGGTGTTAAACTCGAAGTCATTCAAGTCCTTAGACTCGAATTATGTGTTTCTATGGCAACACTATCAAGGGCAAAACGATCTACAGCGGTCATGTGGTAACAGTTGGAGCTCTCAGAAGATAATTCTATGAGGACGTGAACCACGTAAACACTGTTTACAAGTTGGAATCTTGTAATTATGGTAATTCTGATATGGATTGAACGCACCTCAACTGATTAGCTATTGGTTAACACATCATTAAAAAGGAAACCTTTTCAGCGGTAAAGCCAGTTATGGCATCTTGATGGATTATTTTTTTCGTAATGACATGTACTGATGAACCGTTGCTATAAGGAGCGTGTTTTAAGGAATTAAATAGTGTCAGTTTTGATATCATTTGTTTTCACTTCAAATAGCCTACACCAAATGTAGCGATAATTTTTCAGAAAATGCTTTAGGACTAGGAAGTATCCACGCCAAAAAGCCTCTACACAAACTACTTTAAAGTCAGCATTAAACATAAGTTGAAATAGTCTTTCTTCCCTGAAGTATATCTGAGTAAACAGCTTCTTGAACAAGAAAAAATGTAGGGTGGGACTTGATTTTGTCCATCGCAAACTGATTGGACGGTTGTGGTTTGTTACTGCTGTGATGTCATGTGAGTGACAGGTTGCCCCGCCCTTGCGCCAGTAAACACATCATCAGAGAAGAGAATAGATGTCACTGCAAGAGGGAGAGGAGGTTATTTTTATTTAAGATTATGAGGGCACATTCATTTAAAAATGATGTGCATGGAAAAATCTTTTATAAAACTGCAATATTCCATGAAATATATATATATATATTGTCAATTTTGATTTCATGGTGACTTTAACTGCAAGCACAACTTTGACTTTACTGACATCTATTGGACAGAACATGTACATGCAAAGGAGACATACACTCAGCTGCGGGCACATGTTTGAAGTGAGATTAGAAATTAGGTCAGGTGATAATTTAAGGCTGAAACTAAGCTATTGTTCATGCCTCAAAATGTGAACATGCTTTCTGCTCAAAATCTGGGTCAGTTTGCACCTTTTGTGTGTAATAATCAGCTCTCGCTGGAGCTCCCGATGGCACTTGGACGCTTTGATGGGATTGTGGAGCTTTTTGGGCCTGATGAGCTCCTCATAGTAACCACTGTCCGTTTGCTCAGGAAGCAACTTGCTCTGGTCTAAATCCTCTTCTCTGGCCCACGTCTGATCAGGATCTATCACTGATCCAAGATCAGAGACTAAATCTAATGGAGGGAAAAAAGCAAAAGAGAGCCTTCTATTACAAAACAGCCAATATCATCCACCAGGTGAAAATCGTAAGCCAATTTGCATCGAAAAATAATAGGATTCCTCTCATGACTGAAGCATCAAATTCACCAAAGTTTAATAAATTGTTTAAAGCTGCATTCCGTAACTTTTTTGGGTTAAAATTATCCAAAATAAATTTGAGCACGTACATAACCAGCCAGTGTTCAAAACTATCTGCTTGCCTTAGCTCGATTCAAAACGGTAAGCTTGTAATGTTTTTAATTCCAGTGGTACTGGTGGAATTCGAGCACGTCTTTGCGTCATTACGTCACATCTGTACACATAAAGAAGGAGTCTCGGCTAGTAGGCTATATTGCGTGTGAGGATGTTGGAGGTGGAGATTTATAGCCTTTTCTCACAGCACTTGATATAATTAAACTTATCAATTTGATCGCGGATCCAGAAAGGTTCAAACGACAATCACCAGTGACAACTGGAGACTCACCCGTTGTAAAATGCAAAAGACTTCTGAGTGCCTACAGAAAAAAAGAGACTGCAACCGGGCCCACTCGAAAACACAAAAAATATCGGAAGGGCATTAAATGTAGTCAGGTAATGCTGATGTTGAACATTAACAATTTAAGAAAAGTATAATTTGCATGGTTTGACGTGATATGATAAGCGATCGTTAGATTTAATCAGCGCGATTTCCTGCAATGCTTTTTTCCCCTTAGTTGGTCAGAACAAAAGTGGATGTTACTTACTTTTTCAGATTATATTTTCCGGTGAAAATTCTTATGTTGGTCATACTTCCAAAAAGTAGAATCTGTGATTCCGAATGACAGTATCCACACTGGCGCGGTGACTGACAGCTGCACATTCCCCTCAAAACATTGGATTCATTGTTCAGTGCCGAGCCGAGGCACAACCCACGTAAAGTTGATAATTCCGCCAATGACTGCAATTGCAGATTTCGAACAGAGATGGCGACAAAGAGGAAAAACTACGGACTGCAGCTTTAAGACAGAATGAGCAATATTAATGAAAAGCATCAGTGTAACGAAAATCCACATAATTCAACTTTATTCAGTTGCTGCCTTAATTTATCAAATTGGCTGTACAAGTCATTTCAACTCTTTTTTTTGTTTGTTTGTAAAAGTTAAACTTGTTTAAATTGTTTTCATGAGTTAATAGCAAAAACATGTTGACTTATTGATCACATCTTTTTTTTCCTTTTTTTTTCAGTGCATTAGTCCATGAAATTGCAACAAATAATATAAAAAACAGAAAACCTGATTCACCAGGTCCAATAAGTGGTTGAGCACAGGCAGAATTATGACTCTGATGATTATGATCTGCCTGTGGGAGGATATGGATATTATATTTAGTCATAATATTTAACCACAACACAAATTACAGAAGACAAATCTTTCATTTATTTCGCAGTTTCCTTCTGCTATTCACAGTGAAGAGCTGTATAGTGATCTATATACCATATTACTGTGTGATTAACATATTTATATAGCATGGTATTTCAAATAATACCATGGTATTACCATCATAGCAGTATCCAAAAACCATGCTATCACTATTACTATGTTAATAAGTCTATATTGCATATCGCTATATTGTCTCATCCTTATCTATCCATCCAAACGATCGAAAATAATCACTAAAGCTGTTGATGAAGAGGACAATAGCCCTGTGTGTTGAGAGAAACTTGCACTAACACAAGGGAGGCATTGTGGGTGTGTGTGTGTGTGTGTGTGTGTGTGTGTGTGAACACCATGCTGGGTTGATCATATTGGACTAAAATGGTTTTGGGACCAGCTGGCATTTAGCCACCTCATTACTGGGCCTGCCAAACAAACTCTCCATTTTCCCTTCATAATCTGCTGTCTAGAATGTGATCGTGTCAGGAAAGTCACGAGGAGTCCTTGGACTAAATGAAAAGTACATCAGTTATTGTTAAAGTTACTGCAACCAAATATATGCCTGTTTTACACTGAAAAGTCACATGTAAGCTATGCAGATTAACATGTCTGGAGCCGAGAAGAATGCAGGTTTAGTTGCTATTACGGCTTACTAAAAGCCGTTTTAGTTCACTGACATGAATCTGAAAAAAAAAAGAAGAAAAAAAGATTTTTTATTTGAAAAACTTTCCTTGGCAGTTAACTGAAATAAGTTACAATTACTAATTGGAAATAAATAAGAACTAAAACTGAACTAAAAGTTGAATTGAAATAAAAAAAAAATTAATATTAAAAAAACTTTCATTTTCAGTTTTTTTTTTTTACATTTGAATTAAAAACATTAATAAAACTATTACTATAAAACTATATTAATAATAATAAAACAACAACACTGCATGCCTTGATTTCACACATATTCTTAAGAACTGAAACTAATGAACTTATATACATGTATTTTAGTTTGGATTAAATGCCTCATGCTCAAACTTTATGATTAGAAGCCACAAAAATAGGAAAAAATAACATAAACAGAACAAAACTAACATTCTCAACTTATACATTTCACAAATTTAAGTCTTAAACGTTGTCTATTGTCCATTTACAATCAACACATATAAGAGTTCTTTATCGTTCTTACACGCATAGCAATAGACCGGTTCTTCAAAATGGAATAAAATATCCTTACTTACTTTCTTTCCATGGGTCACTCCCATGATTCCAAAGGTGCCGAGCACTCACTGCCTCAGGACTGTCCCAGAAACAACTACTTTGGGATTCCACCTGCTATCTTCATGCAGAGCCAGAGGAGAGGCAGGAGGGAAATTACATCCCTCCAAGCAAACCCCTCTCTCACACACACACACACACACACACACACACACACACACACACACACACACACACACACACACACACACACACACACACACACACACACACACACACACACACACACACACACACACACACACACTTTAGCAATCCCAGACTGCATACAGTGCCCTAACTGGTACTGCAATCCAGCAGAGGGAGGGGGAGAGAAAAAGAGGAATTGTGTTAAAACTGATGTCACTTTCCCGTTTTCCGTTCATTGTTAATATCAACAGCAACAGTGTTACCTTCATATAAAAGAACCAATGTGAAGGAATTCAGTATGAGAAAAGAATCAGCTCTGTTATTATCTTTCACATTTTTATTTGCTTTATAATATGATCATCATGACAGAATGTTGCTCTTGTTTGGAAAAGAGCAATGTGAACATATGCAAAAGTTCTCCTTGTGTGTTTTATGGAAGGAAGTTATATGGATTTGGAAAAACATGAGAGTAAACTATTCCTTCAGTTTTATTTGCTAAGGGAGGGAAGTCAGCAAAAAGAGTTGTTAATGTACCATTTTCAAATGTCCCAGAAGTGTGGTGATCTAAGGTTGGCTAAAGTGGCAGACTCATTCAGTCTCAGTTATTCTAGGTAAGCAGCCAATGACCTCCCCCAACTCAACTCAGGCCAGTCTCCATACGCGTTTCTCCCCACATCATTTTGAATCAACTAAACGTAACAGAAAACAACCTATTTAATTGTTTTGCACAATAGCAGTGGATATTATTAACAATAAAACTAAAACTATTTAAAAAAACAAAAACATTTTCATTTATGGAAATAAAGCTGAAATAAAATAAAAATATTAGATGAAAATGTCAATGAAAACAAATGTAATGAATTTAAATGAAATGTTAAATACAAAAATAGAAATGCTGACTTGGAAACTAACTGAAATAGGCTGAAGTTAGAGTACAAAAATGACTAAAAATATAAAAAAAATTACCACAACTTAACTCTCTCTCTCTACACACACACACACTGTATGGTAAATACTGTAATGGTATAACATAGTATATTGCATAATACTAAAATAACACTGAACAATAGACGTTAAAGGAATTCTGGATTCTATAGAAATGAATAGTTCAGCCATGAATCTCTACTCGCATTCTGATTTGTTGTTTCATTGTAACATCCGCAGCCAATCAGAATGCGAGTAGAGATTCATGGCTGAACTATTAATTTCTATAGAATCCAGAATTCCTTTAACGTCTATTGTTCAGTGTTATTTTAGTATTATGCAATATACTATGTTATACCATTACAGTATTTACCATACAGTGTGTGTGTGTGTGTGCAGAGAGAGAGAGTTAAGTTGTGGTAATGGTATAACATGGTATAACATTCCTGACACTATCCCGAGAGTTGTCATGACTGAAATTAACACAGACAATAGCTCATTGCTCAGTTTGTGAAAGCAATTAAAAATGAAGAAAAAAGAACAAGACATTCCAACCTTTTCAAAAGGTCTAGCTTCCATTATTCCAAAGGTGCCGGCGAATACCCAGCTATCCCTGGGCTTCAGGGATGTGACCATGGTGTTGCCCAGTGCAGTGAACATCTCTCTAATTTCATCAGTCAGCCTAGAAGAGAGATGGTGGCAGTGGAAGTCAGACATGTATGAATTATTCAACTCAAAACCCAAGTTAATCATGTTGATGGTGTCTGAAGGCTGTCAGATTTTTACTGTGGTGTAGGGTCGATGTGTGAGGCCACAAGCACTATATTTCCTGGCTTTAGTGTCTTTAGATAGGCAAGTAATTCCTCGGGATCTTGAAGGATAAAAGAAGTGTTTCCGTATGTCAAGATAGCTTTATTTGTTCAATTAAATTTAGATTTAATAGATACAATTTCTTGCATGCACAAATCCTTTAAGAGACCTACCTTTAGATTTCACATTGAAGTAATCATTTCTTAAAACCTCACCGGTTCCACCTAAGAAAAAAAAAAGAGTCAATTATTTAATTTTATGTCCATAATTATTATTAATTGTTTGTAAACATGTATAAAAAATACATATAAAAGAATAGTAAAGTATTATTTCCATGTCAAAATTCAAATGTTTTGAAATAAACAAGAAAAAAAATTAAATCCTGCATAATTATTTGTAGTAAACGAACAAGACTCTTCAGACAGCAGTATACTTTTTAAATGATTAAATTGACCGGTTTTCACAATGAACTAAGCAATTGATGAATTAGCATATTCACCAAAAATATTTTAATATATGAAAGCTGTACCACTGTAAGCTTTCAAACAAATAATGGACAAACAGCATGAACATGAGTAAATGATGACAGAATTTCCATTTTTGGGTGAACTATTATTTTTAACTTCCTAAAAGGGATATTTCACCCAAAAATGTACATTTTGTCATTAATTACTCACCCTCGTGTTGCACCAAACCTGTATGAGTTTCTTTCTTCTGTTGAACACAAAAGAAGATACTTGAAGAATGTCTGGTTTACCAACATTCTTTAAAATAAAAGATTGTGTCCAACAGAAGAACAGAACTCATACAGGTTTGGAACAACATGAGATAAACTATGAATATTGAACTATTGCTTTAACGCTGTATTAATCTCTCATGAATAAGCTACATGATGTAACGGTTCTTACTTACGGTTCTATTGTTAAAGCAAATTTTTGCAGTCACTACATCGGCTACACCGCTGTAAAGGTGGAATGGGAAGTAGTTGACAGGGCAGTGTTTAAGTGGACAGCAATTTAAATGAGTCTTAAACAGACCTGCACAGAGAAATAAACAAGTTGCATGAAAAAATACAGTACTGCAATCACCCATGCAACTCTCACCCACAAAAACATACAAATGAATTTTACCTGGATTATCACAGTCTGTCACAAAACCATTAATTTCATCTGAAATATAAAGGCCCTCATTTTAGACAAATTAAAATATAACAGAGTAATAAAATTGAAATGGATTATCATGCATGCAGCATGACACAAGCTGTCATATACAGTACATTACATGATCGTTTGGCAGCTTCTTGTTGTTTTGACCATTTGACGGAGAAACACGATTGTAAGATGATCAGCATTGTTACGAGAACATAAACAGTCTGTAAATGAATATATCACAATTAATATGTCATCATTATACTCACAAACGATCACACAAATTAATCAGAAATGCCAAAAACGTTTTCTTTACCTTTAAGTCTCATTTTTGGTAGCACAGAATACTCTTGGGCTTCTCAAGGGCCCGATGCAACATTAAAATGATTTCAAACCACAAGAAATGTGTTTTATCTCTCTCTCTCTCTCTCTCTCTCTCTCTCTCACACTTTGGAGTTGTTACCTGTTTGAAAGTTCACAGGGCTATAGCCCGAAACATGATTCAACAGGATGTACCGGGCGTTGTTTCAAACAATCTAATTTCTCAACTAACCAACTGTCAACTAGGCAGATGAGAAGTGTCATTGCATGCACTGATTTTACAATTGTGTACTGCTCTCTTGTGGACAAAACAGCAAATGCATACTTATCAAACACACGTGGAATATGAATGTATATAATTTTATTCCTGCTCAGTTAAATAAACCACATTAATGGGGAAACATCTGAGTCTCAGGTGAAAGCATGAAAATCAAAAGATATAGAATTCAATCATCAAAAATACTTAAAAATCAAGAACTGAAAAACACAGTTATGGAGCTCTGGGCCCCACATAATATTGCTTTATCAACACTATCACCTTAACAAACAGGTAAAGTCAAACACTGCCATTAGTAAATACCATTACCAGTATAGGAAAGCAGACTATTGTTCATTCACATAACACAGTTAAATTACACAGTAAGGCACTGGAGTGCAAACTCTACAGCAACATTACAGTTGATAAGACAGTTTACAGTTAACCACTTATTAAGATGTGCTTCTGGTATTAGTGGCACTGTTCATAGTATCCAGTGGGAACAACCCTGAGATTAAAATGAGAAGCTGTTTTAAAGTCAAGCAAAGATCAGGCACACACACACAATAAATAAAGAGGAACAACCATTGTAACAGACTTTGGTACAATGTCCCTCGTTCACTGAGAAATTCAAGAAAATACTAAATACATGTTTCAAGGAGTGCATTTAAAAAGTACTACTGACCAAGTTTTAAGCGATGGGCACCATAACCGTCAACTGCCACAGCTCTTTTCAGAAGTTATTTGCCTGAAATTAAATCACAGTAATTCTCATCTCTAATGTGCATCTTAACGTTTCTGAACCCCTTTCCCATAGTTCTTTAATGTAGGGGATCTTGGCCTATTAATCCTCCCAAATGTAACCAGCTAAATTTAACTGGTTGGTGGACATATGCGTGCTGAAAAATGGAGGAACAGAGATAAATATTTCAGGAACTCCTGGTGGTTTTTAAATGACCCATGTGATGCTTTTGGCCATATAAAGTCACAGTATTAAAATGGAAGAGAAACTTGAAGGATAGATTGTGCTATTTGATTCAGTCCAAAAGGTCCTGTGGAAAGAAAAGCTAGAGTAAGAATAAAAAGTGATTAAGTATATATAGTTTTGAAAGCCATTATAAACTACTGTTAACATGCCACACTGTTAACGTACTAACCTCATCTGAATCATCGTCCGCTTCTCTGGCTGCATTTTGCTCTTCTATTTCTCGCAGTTCTGAGTATCTATATGTTGCATTACTAAAGAAAAAAAATATATATATCATAATATTATAAATATGCATATAATATACTATATATACTCATATTAACAATATTTTGAGATATGTATATGTACATACATATATACACACACACACACACACACACACATACATATATAGATAGACAGACAGACTGTATGCATGTGTGTGTGTGTGCGTGTGTGTGTGTGTGTGTGTGTGTGCAATAAACCAGGTTCCACAAAATGAAGTTATCACTTAGTAGGGACTAATAAGTTTATTATTAACTTTCGTGTAAATTATTGAAAAATATGTTTTGGGTGAAAGGATTGAAAGGTTAGCACGCAGTGTTACATATTATATCTCTATACCTCTTCAGACAGCAGTATTTTCGTATGATGAAGACAGCAGCTGCTATTGCAGCAACAGTAACGACCACAACAGACGCGACCACCCCTGAATGGAGTCTTATAACCTGAAAAATAAGACATCAGGGAGAGTAAATATGTGGTATGCGAACTGACAGGGAAGTGACTTACAAGAAAGTCGATAACGAACCTGTTGAACATTTGGTGCTGCTGTGGTGGGTTTCTCCGAACTTTCTGCCAGTCTGGATTCGCGATATGACGGAAAAGCAAAGGCGAGCTCCCCAAAAACACTATATAAAATCAAATTTAGTAACATATTTGAGTAGTGGCTTAGCTTCAAACACTTTCTCGCCATTATAGATGTTTACTTCCTACTAGTGATTCTACCTGTCAAATGACGTAAAGGAGCAACGGGCGTGTGATTGGTCGATCGTGAACGCGATCGACTTCCGTCAACATTAAAGGTTGCAGAACTTGTTGCAGACAGAGATTGTCTTATTATTATTATGGTGGATTTGCTTTTATGTTCATTTTAATTAAAAAGTGAGATTAATATAAAACCTGTGGATTAAACTAGAAAACAAAAAATCTACAATTTAAGTTAGTTTTACATTTTACTGTCTAACCATTCTATAAATTTGAATAAAAAGTTGGAACTAAAATAAACTCTGAAATGGATTCAATCATATGGTTTATTAACTTTTCAGTTATGAGCTCAAATATGCTTGAATATGAATTGATCACTAAAAATCTATATCACATTAGAAACAGTTACAAGAAATATACACCCATAAATTCATTGTTAGGAAGGACAGTATAGTGCTTGAATTAAAACCATACATAGTGGCAGTATTGATCAACATGTTGCTCATCTCGGGATCAGAGCAGTTCGTAATATTTCCCAGATTGTGGATCAAAGTAACAGTTGAGGCAGGAATCATACATTAAATTGAGAAACTCTTCCTCTCCACTGTTGTCGTGTAACATAGACCCTGTGGATAGCATAGAGAAACAAGTTACATATAGAAAATAAAGTCAGGGAAAGCTTGGAAGTTGTTACAAAGGTTTGAGTCAAAAGTTCAATTACACAAAATAAAATAAATGCTTATGTTCCTCTATCTGTGTTTTCATATTTTTATATATGTATGCTACCCTTTGCATTTCTCCTATTATTTTCACAATTGTTTTACTTTTTACATTACAGCCATTCAATGATTTCTCATAGGCAATTTAATAGCAGGTTCGCATTGTGAATTTACCCCATATAGTGTATAAAGTCTAGATGAAATCTCTTCTTCCTGAGCAGTAACAATTGCAATTTAAGACCCTGCTGTTTTAGTATTGTCAAAGAAATATCACTGTGGGTTTTAGATGAAGGAAATATCAATCATGAAAGTAATTGTACGTGAGCACAAATCTTCTCTGTGCGAGTGAAATTTAGATCATGATATATTTTTAGCAACAAAGCATATGCGCCCAGGAAGTGGATTTTTCTGGTGTCATACCTCTGGTGGAGCCCTTGTGGTCTCCTTTTTCATTGGCCATCTGTTGATTTGGATGAACTATCGGAGGGCTAAGGACATCCATCCATTCTCTACAAGAGGGTTAACCATATAGCCATTACAATATTAAAATAAAACAGCTCTTGAAGGGGCATGAGCATCTGTCCTAATATTAAAATATGAATTATATTATATGTACACTTACACTATGGTATATGATATATATAGTTTAATTATATATTAAAGCTTTTGGAATCATTGTACGAAGCTGCACCAAAGCCCATGTTTGAAACTCCTGCTCTGCCGCTAACGGGTTACCTCTTATTGTGAATGAAAGACCCCCCTTCTGCATGTCTCTCTCTTTCATATTCTCTCATTTACATGACACTTTTCAAGGCACCATGTGGTGTTGATGGACAGGCTCCCTGGTGGGACGGGAGGGAGGTGGATGATGACCTCCCAGTGAGCTCTGCTGCAGCGGTGACAGCTAGGTGACACATGCAAGCCTCTGAGCGCATGCATAACTCCTGGTTATTCATTGTCCCTGACAACCATGCTTAATTAATCACCGAGGCGTGGCAGTGTGGGCAGCATCCCTTGACAGGAAAAGTTTTGCGTAGGAAACTAGCCATAGTTATGCTGTGGGATTGTACAAAATGTGTACATAAAATATTAAAATGACCTCCAATATTTTTTTTTTTTTTTTATCAGTTAATTTACATTTAAAGGTCCTACATTATGCAGAATTAGTTTCCTCATAAACCATGTGACTATATGACTATTACTAATAATAATAATAATAGTAATGTTTGTTATTATTTATAATAATTTTGTTTATATACTTCATGAAATATTATTAATGATAAAATATAATAATAACAAAAATATATTACTATTATAATAGTATATTATAATTGTATTATAATATAATATTATAATTTTATTATAATAATAATAAAATTATTATTATAACAGAATTAGTTTCCTCCTAGTCCTAATCTATGTTTTCATTATTAAATGTAGGTTCTTTATTCTTTGAGTTTTATCTTATATATCTTTATATGGTCTTAATAGTTATAATTAATAAAAACGTTTTATTGTTATTGTTATTATTAAAATTTCTCAAGTAATTCAAAAACTAAGGAGTGAGGAGTATGAGGAGACTTTTGAGAAAAGTTGCAATGCTCCGTAATGTAGACAGTCTGACAGTTTCATCATATAATGAATGGCAGCCAAATCGTTTGAAGACTGGCATCAAATTTTGTGAAGCACACCACATGCTTTCTTTTTTTTATGCTTTGATGTTCAAAAGTTCTTTTTAGTAGTACCCTGGAACCACTGGATAAAATTGTCAATAGAAACATCAAAATGTTCAGTGCCCAAAAGCTACCCTATTCCTATCACATTTCGTTACCACTTTTTAGAAGTCCGAATTGTTGAAAGTGCATGAGCCTGAGGGCTGACAAAAGTTCTCCTATGAACTTGCATGATAAAGTTCCTGAAATGACTCATTCACGACTGAGCCTCAACACTTAAGAGCTTAGAATAATGGCTTAGAGTTATACAGAAATGTACAGACATAGTGAGGCTAAAACCCTGTATTTTTCTCTTACCTGGGATTAGAGTGAAGAAGAGGGTTCATTTCTTTCTGATAGTGCTGGCCTTGATCCACTGGCTGTAAAACACAAAGAAAATAAGTAGTGTGTATTTATAATCTGGTTCAGGGGTCATTTCTTCCCACTATTAGCTCCAGTCTAGTTG